CATAACAGCCATAACCATCCACCTATATCATCGCCGTCATTACCATCAACCTCATCCGATGCTGAATTTAAACCCGAGACACCCGAACAACGGACGTTTACCCATCTTAATCCTTTTCTAATGAAACCATTCATCGGTTTACCGCCCATCAAACATCATAACGATCCTTGGCTGCATAAACCATACAATTTGCATAAACCGATCTTCCATAAACTCACTACAAGTCATTTTTCACCTTTAAAACGTTTCAAAAGATCGACACTCTCTGCAACTTCTTCTCATAAATATGTTAACAGCTGGTTTGCTAAAATGTTTAGTAACACTAAACATGCATTTTGAAAAAAGATTTCCAATTTTACAAGATACAAATATACCGAACTAACCCTATCGCCACCAATCGTCGGTCGAAACATCTCACATCAGACCTGGTGTAAACCCAAAAATGTCGGGCTAATGAAAAAAAAATTTTTGCAAATCTCTTACGTCGAGGAATGTAGCTTTGTTTATTTCGAAACAAAAGTTCTAGCAATTATTGAAATCTATATAAACCTATGCAAAAAATCATTTAATTGTAACGAACATGTTTTCAGCATTCATCAAATAAAAAACGAAAACGTATTCTTCAAAAATTCGTAGATTAACTTGCATTTATTTTTTATCAAGTTGCGAACATAAATCCATTTTAGTGTCTCAGATTTCCGATGATGATAAATTCTAGTTTCGATTGACTATGACGATTAGACTTAATAGTGCTTGTTTGTCTGTTCGTCGCTTGTAATCACGATTAGAATCTCGAAACTCCACTAGCAAACATAGTCTCAAATTATTTTTTACCATTCGGATTACCTTGCATATAATCGATTCGCCCGCAGTCTATGAAGAAGCCAGGGTCAGAATACATAAATATGCATATGGAGAATGGAAATATGATTTTCAATGTACACGAAACACAATATGTATGAGACGAATCGCAACATATATAGAATGAATAAATAAATGTTAACTTTAGTGTGCAGTGAAATGACGCATACAAGCTAAAAGGCTTAGTTCATACTCTTATTACTCCTATTTTACTTCCAAAATATATTTTTCCTCATATTTTTATATAATCAATACATCAACTAAACTCAAAAAGAAGACCTTCTCGTTATGGTACATAAAAGTTTCCATTAGAATAATATATGTACCATGATACTCCCAACGGAAAAAATGGATGCAAACAAAGCGCCCTGCACTTCAGATACCAGTGAACTTGATGAGCGTAAAACTTGGAATTGATTTAATCAATGATAAACGCATAAGAACTCGCACCAAAGTAATTCAGATTAATATAAAAAACTGGGTCTAAATTATTTGCTAACATTCCTAAATAGCGAAATATGTCGATTAACGAAGATTCAGGTAGTAATCGCTCTTTTTAAATTGGTTAGTAAGCCGACAGGATATTAACTCGAAAAGATTACCTTTAATGCATCGTCGTATGGTTTGGTACAGAATCGCCACTTTGCTGCAATATTATTATTATTATTATTATATCGAGTATATATTAATTTTACTTCACAAACACCGAAAACCTATGACGTTGCGTGCCGCAATCAAGGTGACATTTTCACTCTCAATTCTATCATCTAATAACTAAGCTTTGACCGATTACATTTTAGGTAAAGGTAACAACCGTAACATTGTTCGCAGTACGACATATTATTTTCACAAAAATATTACCACACAAAACCAATCCGTTTAATTAATAAAAAGTTTTCATGATTAGAGTAAGGCGACTATCCAATTCGAGTGATTTAAAAAGAGAAATATTTAGATTCTTATCAACGAAACTGCGACGATCAATTTTATGATTAATGGTATTTGGGAAATAATTGCTGCAAGGAAACTAATCCGATAAGGCCGCGCGCAATCATTGAAACAAACACAAACACTTCACTTCATTTTCACTCGGCATTTCCACAAACTTCTCATCAATTCACGAGAATTTAATCAATCGCATCTCTAACTTAAATAAACAGTGTTGTCTATATTACGATATTTTGTTATAATGACGATTTTTTTTTTTTAAGTTTTTTGCTATTTTTATTTAAGCAATATGTGAAGTGAGAATAAAATTTTGTGATCATCAATAACGTGTCAAACTAATACAGCAAATTTGATATAATTGATTATAATTTGTTTTTATTTGAGAAATCAAATTAAATTCTGTTGAGAGAAATCTTTTATAGATTATCCTCTGAATAGAAAAACGGTAATATAGAGAGAACGTTTACGATCTCTAACAGAATTGTTAGAAAATATGATAAGATTGTCACACTTATTTTATTTAATAAAGAATACCGTTGAGCTTTGAGCGAATTGAAAAAAATTTTGGAAACTTATTAACATTCAGTATTTATTCTGGTTATTTAGTTGAAATTATTAAATGTTGGAATACTTTTGCAGGCAAATTTCTTGCAAGTCGGTACCCTTGGTAGAAACAACTAATGTTAACACAGCCACACACTCCCTATTGCAATAAAATAATGAAGCGATATAACCGTTGAGCGAGTGAGTAATAAGCTGATAAGCATACTCTAGACTTTTGGAGGCACACCTTGGGAAATCGTAAGGACAAACAGTTTTCTTTCCATAGATATTTGAGGTACTATATGCGTTTATTTGTGCCAATGAGAAAAGGATGTCACTAAAGCGGAAGATCGAGAAAATATTATAGTAAATTATGATGGAACTTTATGATCTTGTAAAAGGAATCTTTGAGCAGAAGTCCATTGCTTTAAAGAGTTTAAGTAATAAATAATGGAAGGTTTATTAGTAAAATTATCTGAAAATATTTCAAGATTGTCCGTAAATTCAATGCGGTGTATGAACGTAATTATACGTAAATGATCTTCATTTTAATTTCGTACATCTTCTGTACTTTGTAAAGTAAACCGAAAAATTAGGGCAATGCTTTCATATTTATGGTACATGAAAATGCTATTATTTTCATACGTGAGAACATTACACCAATATAAAGAAATGAGTGTGATCGAAAACGTCAGCACTCTGCTGCTGCAAACGACATTCTCAAGTGAATATCAGTTATGGTATGAAAGTAAACGCAAGCACTTTATTTCATACATACTTATAAATAGTTGCGCGCACACACTAACACAGGTATATATAGACAAATTCGTTTATTTCTTTAATTTTAAGTAGCACAGCTACGTTGCAAGAAGAATTAGGTTAACAGACGGCAAAAAAATAAAACTAGTGAGAAAAGTATATCTAGTTGTCTAAAAGCGGAGTCTTGGTTACCCATCATATACACGACAATAGGTATATGAGTAATATAAGTTTACGGGACTCTTTCCCATCATAGAGCTTATTAGATGGTTTTGCCCTTAAAATTAATTTCAATATTGAGCTCTGGAGATCGCAAAATAATCCAATCAACTGACGATTAATACAATAAAGGAGTAGCTCAACTTGTTTACCATCATTGGATATCAATCGATGTTTCTTTTATTGTTGAAAGCAATAAAATGTAGCAAAAACAACAATTAAACTAATACATCGCTGATATGTGCAAGAGAAAAATTAAAGCTATTTAGGTTTTTGCTAACCTTCACGTTAATATTACTTTTGAAAAGTTTAGCATATTTTTTATTTTGCAGAAATCTATTTGTGTCACACTTTTGAACGTTTTTCATTTAGTAATAGACGGCACTTGGTGTAGTCATAAGCTTAATTAATAAAATTAAATAATGGGATTGTTACAAGTTTGCGTGTACGTGTTATTAATAATACATTTATCAAGGACCCAGGAGCCTGCAAACCATTATGACGTGTCTGTTCAGCGTTTCGTACGACAAAATCCAGACTTTTTTCAAGATCTAATGGCTCAATTTCAGCGTATGAACGATCAAGTAACTCAACAATGGGTTCCAGCTTTGAGTCAAATTAGTGAGGGATTTCAACAGGGAGCACCTTTGCTCCAGCAAATGCCGCTGCTTGGTCAGTCTTTAGCTGAAAGTATTCTAAGTAGTTCGGATTCTTTGTTAGGGGCATTTAGTAGATCAAACGGTGATGAAGATGATGGTGAAACTGGCATTCAGCAAACACCAGTGTCGCAAAAAGACAAGGAACAGAGTGAAGGACGACAGCAACCCAAACAACCATTAGATGTGATTTGGGGCACACCTTTATTGGGATTGCAGAGTTTTATGCAAAATCCGCCTCCACCTTTCAACTATAATCCTTTTATTCCAGCTTGGCCCAATCAAAGGCAGCAAGCATCCGCTTCTGAAATGTCCGAAGTTCGAGTTAAGCCCGACATTTTCGACCCAACTTATAGATTTAGTCGCAAAACGACGCGAGCTAGCAAGCCAGGAGATATGCAAAACTATCCATTTTCTAGCGCGGAAATATTAAAAAAAAATATGCCTTTACTATGGCTTCATCTCACTAAATCAAAATCGGTGAATTCTAACAAACCCAAGGATAAAGAAACACAGGCGAAATTGTCTACCTTTGAAGACGAACTTGTTTTGGAATTAAAATACCTACAAAAAGTTGTCAAATTAGCTAACCAAGCGAAGCGGCTTAAGCCTTATGGCACTAATGCGAGTATTTCCAAAGCCCTATCTCTGAGTGACATTTCCGTTTATAAAATAACAATGGGGGACATTGAAAAAGCTTTGAAAGACGAGGATGTTCTGACTATTTTGCACACATTAAATCAATATCGTCATACCATACCCAACAAGCGTCAAATTTCATCAAATGATCTTCTACAGAAGCTTTCCGCAGAAGATTTAATGAAAATTATTAGTCACAACTTCCGGATGTCGCCTAAAGTTGAAAACAATTGGATGAAAGGCGAGGAAGCCTTAAAGTCAAATGAATTGGAAATGAGTACCCATAATATCGATAATATGAAGTATTTGGTAAACGAAGGTGCTATTGGAAAATCTATGTCAATGTTGCACAATCCCGCACTCAGTTATTGGCCCGGTCTTCAACCAATAGAGCGACAGCCTACTGTAAATCCCTCTCCACTTCCCACCCAATGGCCGCCATCTCAACTTAAACAATTCACCCAAACAGAAGTGTTTCCACCACAATACTGGATGGGACGAGCTTTGACGCATCTTCCACAACAAAGCTCGGGACAACTGATGCAATCGCTACACATGTTTGAACCCAAACTGCGACAGCAACAAGAGGACATACAATCGCTGACACCTGTGGTTAATACACCCGATAACGTACACAGAAATGATAGCAACAATGCATTTTCTGGAGAAAATCAAAACACGCCTTCTACGCCCCCATCTGAAATATCTAAACTCTCACAAGTACAACAGCTAGCTGTGCCAAAAGAACTTGAGCAAAGACATTGGATGAGCAGAGCTATGATGCAGTTACCTCAACAATCTTTGCCAACAAGTGATCCCGTCCTGAGACGAATGCAGAACGATTTTCCCGTAGTGTCACAACCATCCCAACAACAATTAGCTGAGATTAAAAGAATTGACACCATAAATCCGCAGCATAAACCTAAAAAAAACCCTATTTCAGCAGAGTTTGATTCTAATAGAACAGGCATGGAACCACAACTTCCCAATGAAGACGATTTGACGAACGAAAGACCTGACACCATAAATCCACAGCATAAACCTAAGAAAAACCCAACTCTACCAGAGCTTGATTCGAATAGAACAGGCGTAAAAACACAATCTCCCAATCAAGGCAATCTGAAGAAAAATGAACAAAAAATCAACTATGCAGGCCATCCTAAGAAGATGCCCGAAAATACCCGGCATAGCAGTAACCTGTACGGAACAGCTTATGACAATTATGATTTCTTATACTATCCTCAAGTTTATACGAAACTACAACATACAAATAACAACAAATTAGACCGAATCCCTTGCCCAATAGTTGTTAACAACTATTACGGCGACTGCTCTACAACGCCCACAAACAACTTAAATACTCTAGCAACTAGCCATAGCGGCAACAACAATGATCCCGCTTCACATTTCTCCACTACGACTCTATGTACTGAAACTAACACTGATAGCTACAACGATTTTCCTGTGACTGCCGCCTCTGCGCTTTTCGGCCCTACTCGTTCCAATATTAATAATTTGGTCACGCAGCGTACTCACATTAATGCCAGTCCCTATAAAATGGCCATCGGAGATGACGAAATATTTAAAATGCTTCAAGAAAATAAAGCTTTGCCGGTAAGTCCATCGTCCTCTTCTAGAACGCAATTGTAACCCGCCCCTACACATAAGTAAAAAAGAAAATTTCCAAGTTCGTTGTGATTTATTACTTTGGGAAACCTTCTGAAATAACTTCATTTAATTTTTTATTAATGTCAACAAAACTCCAGCCCACCAACAATCTTACGCTAACGGTTGTTTACTTCATAGCCTAACAAGCCCTTAGTAGCAAAAGGTGTCTATTTAGCTATCGCCAACTTTGTTGTGTATTTAGCCCTGGGAAATTTTGTAAGCCAACTTTTATCCATGCTCAGTGCTATAATCAACCGTACGTTGCCTACTTAACTTTTGATAGCCTAGTGACCCCTAAGTTATTTTAAGAAAGACTTAGTCCACTTAATTACCACTTAATTAGCAACAAATAATAAAACACATTACTTACTTACTCTTAGAAAACCTAAAAGCTAGCTAAGTACATCTCAGTGATTAATTCTTTTCTTCTTTACCTAGAAAAATTTGAAAAAAGTGAATTATTTCGACAATGGAACCTAAACAAAATTTTCCAAATTAATTAATCACATCATGCTTTAAATGCATCGTTATTAACAGGTGACGTTTTTATAGAATTCAACGATGATAACTGCTACTCATACGCAGAGACAGCAACATTCAATGCCTGAAAGGGATAAGCAGCAAGGGCAACAAAACATTTCTTTTTCAAATAAACAGGAAACCAGGTTAGATACGCAAAACCTTCAATATTTTAATGATATAGTAATGTATAAGAAGCCAGAAGCGAAATATAGCAAACGTAGTAAAAGAAACGCTAATTATTACACTTTCGAGACCATAGATGAGCACTCATTAAGCGAGCTTAGGAAAGTATATAAAAATAATTTAAAAGAAATCACTTTGAACCCTAATGAAAATCCAACTGAGACATTGATGCGGTATGATGCCGAATCAATACGTGAGGCC